CTCTCCCGATCCGTATACGATACCCACTTGTCTCAGCGTCCTGTACCACGGGCCTACGATGCATACAAGCTTGCGACTCACCGTATTTTTCTTTATTTATTTATTTATTTTTTTTTTGTTTATGCATACTTAAGGCATATAGGTACTCGTGATACACATACCTATAAGTCTTTTGGGGAGGTTCGAGCGAGCGAGGCGAGACAAAACAACAGCTGCGAGACGCGAACAGGGCACTCTCTCGGTTACCGGGTTGTAGAAAGGAGTATACATACACTTACGTACGGGTATATTATAGTTTCGGTTTGGATTTACGGAAAAGAAAAGGTGAGGGATTCGGCGCTTTCGAGTTGTTTTTTGTACGCGATTGTAATTTGACGAGATTCCAGTATGTATATAACAATGATGTGTATAGATGAAACTTGAGCACGGATTCTTTTTCCATCCTTTTCAAATGTATGTTTTATTTTTTTTATTACTATTTACAATGCGTAGCTTAAGATATTTTTTTCAGCGAAAATAATGCATTGTAGTTTGACTGAAAAAACAATTAAGAAAAAAAAAAAAAGAGGCCAAGTATTTGATAAAGTACCTGTTCAGTTTCAAATAATTTACGGTAAGTTTCAATATCTAAAATGTATTGTATTCAATATCTGCTCGAAACCAATTTTTTTGTTTTTTTTTACCATTGTGTTGGGTATATAGTAATAAATACAAAATTTTCTACACAAAATAGGGTTGTAAAAAAAATAAAGTAAAAATAGAAACAGCACGCGCGTGACACTCGAGCCGGAGAATAACAGTTGGGTATTTTTCGTAAACTCCATGTTTGACGCGTTACTTGGTCTCTCGTTAAAATTACGCGAACAGTTGGCATGACCGTTAACTTAGTCCAGTTGATTGTTCTCTTTTGTTTTTTGTTTCCTCCAGTTGTCAGGATTCAACTACTCGGAAAGGTATAATCGTCGCTTTTATCCCGTTAGCATTGCAAGTACGAGAGATTAAGAGGGATCGATTTCACGTGGCCTGACTTTACTGTTGAAGTATCAGTGATACCGATCTATTACCGATCATACTCGAAAAAGCACTTGGAAGGAAATAAAATTCAACACAAGCGTTTATCTTCCTTCATCGAACTAAATCGGCATTGATTGAAAAAATCGAGCTGTAATCGTGCTGCACCAATTCGCCACTAAATAAATCGTTATCGTTTGACAAATTCGGCTTTGGCCACACATGGACATTGTGCTACAATCACTCGATGATTAAACGATTAATGATCATGGAGTGCTTAAAATTAAATACCATAACGTTTTAGGATACAAAGAAACGTTTGAAATCCGTGACGAAAACCAAACTCTTGATGATATTAAATTTAAAAACACTTGGATAATATAATACACACCGCGTGCCTGTTAAATTCGTCATGGGATGTTGTATTATAATACGCATCCAATTGAAACACAGTTAAAAATAGATGGATTGGATTATTCATCAAATGCTCTCATCAACATAAATGTGATTTCTTCCATGAAAGCGTAAACAGAAATTCTGATTCACGGGTTTGGTACAACAACAAAAAAAAAGTAAAATAGGTAGAGTCTCGCTGTTTTTGGCCGACCAAACGTTAGCCTAGGATCTTTCGCTACCAAGGACTACTCATCAACGAATACGCATATATATATAAATACATAAGCTCCAATAAACAGGGAAAAAATGAATCACCTGGTCTCGCGGGTCTCCTGCAACACCGCACCGGTTGCGGAGCACCGGTTCGCCGGCGCCTCGCGTACGAGTGCACCGGCACTATCAGCCGGGGCCTCGGTATCAAGAAACCCGCCTCCTCCTCCTCCCGGCGACGCTGCAACTCGTCCTCGCTGTCCTCCTCCTCCTCGTCGCTACTGTCAACCCTGAGTAGGTCGTCACTCGAGTGAGCCCGTGCCGGAGTCCTCGTCCAGTTGAGACCGCACTCGCGCCAGCTCGCCTCGTAAAGGAGCTCCATGGTCCGGCCCCGGCTAGCCTCGGGATCGGCAAGTAGTTCCGGGTCCTCCGGAACGGCGCGACCCGGATGTCCCCGCACCTTCATCGTCCTCCCGCGCGACTTCACGAACCGGACATCCCTCCGAAGGGCATACCAGGACCCTTTTCGCAAAATGTATCGCACCGTCGCGAGTTTGATGAGGAGGAGCGGCTCTCGCGCCGCAGTTGCTACCACTTGACTGAGTGTCGCTCTCTCTGTTCTCCGCGGCGTTAGCTCCGGGTGCCGGGGCTCTCCCCCTCTTTTCTCTCTCGGGCCGCTGCCGCATTGACTTTATAACTTCGATCGCTGTGAATATACACACGTATACGTGTGTAAGGCTCGACGCAACTCGAGAGAGGAGAAAGGCCAGGGGTTCTCAGGCGTCAGCTGTTTTAGCGCACTGCCGATTTATACATCGGCGCTCTGTTGTTTGCAGCCTGGCAACCGATCCTACGATCGGTATGACGTGTGCAGGGTGTATCGGTGGATCGGTATTGTAATGTGTGTGGAAAACGATAGCTGCCGGTTATGAGGACGAGTTGGAGTACAATGAAATTAAAAAAAATTTCATGTTTATAATCCAAGGCCACTGGTGTCGCGGAAAAACGCCCGATGCAGGGAGATCTTTGTTCACGCCCGATCTCCCGTGATGCCTATTATAGTCGAAGGAGAGAGGCGGCTTGGCTTCGCCCTTTCTCCGTCTCCTTGCCGATGTACGTATATATACACTGTCACTTCGCTACAGTGTTTTAGTAGCGGGTGCACCTTTTTTTTGCTCTTCTTGCACCTAACTATAGTATACATATATGTGTGTGCAGAGCGGTTCGATCGGGGCTCATTGCCCTTACATTTTTTTGTCTTTTTTTTTTTTTTCTGCTTTTGTTTCCACGTGAATTTTGGACGTGTTGTTGGGAACAAGGAAAAGTGACCGCCACACCTTTCTGAATATCGAGTGGGGCTTTGTCACTCGAACTAGTACCGAGTTCTGGGATCGCGGACTACAGTCCCACAATTTTTTGTTAGAGCAATCGTTCTATAGTCTTGAGTTTGATCTCTCCACCCTAAAAAAAAATGTGGGGTCAAAAAGAGTGACGAAAATTGTCAAAAACGATTTTTCAACGTTTATCTTTGACCAAATAACAAAATCAAAGGTGTTTGGGAAAAACTTCATGAAAGCTTATTTTGAAAGCTTTCGATCACTTTTTGAGCTCATGTCCGAACCACATCACGTATTAACTCTTGAATAAAAATAAAAGGGTGGTATGATTATTGACGTGCCTCCCAAACGATCGACGTAGATATTATTTTTTCAACAGATGCGAATCACAAAAATACCTACTTCTCGAAAGTCTTGAGTCGCAGTTTTTATTTTATTTATTTTTTTTAATTTCGACATACTTACTCATTCTTACAGAGACTCTACAAGCAAACTCAAACATATTTGTATATATACCACTTGTAGGAATTGTGGGTTCGTACAATACACGTTATGGGCCTACATCGCGCGGTTACGCCGGCTATGGCGCGTGTTATATAGTTAAGTAATCCTTTTCCAGGCCGTTCACCGAGTCCCTCGTTAGAAAAAAAAAAAAAAAAAAAAAAAAAAAAAAAAAAACCATATACGTGTATACGTATGCATAAACAGGCTGGATTTTTCATTGGCTCAACGTACGACTGCGGGCTCTTTGTGCCGATTTTGCACGGTCACGCGAAATATGGGCACGTATATGTGTGGGTCCGTGTGCCTACACTGCCTGCATGTCATTGTCTTGTCGATTTTACAGCCGCACGTCGAGAATTCGCTGCTTGACTTGGGAAATCCATAAGTATACTGCGCTCGTTTGTTACTTTTTGTCGAGAGGATGGGTTGTTCAATGAGGATTTCGACGCATACGGATGTTTTTTTTTTTGTTTCTTTATGTATGTATCGCCGCTGTAGCGAAGTGAAAGTTGAGCGACTACCAATAATGGTTATTAGAGCTCCTCCCCGACGATTTACTTACTTCCTACAATCAAACTGTCTGCATTATTATAGAAGTATGGTGGTTGAAGAAATTTTTACTTATTTAGTTATTTATTTTTATTTTTTTTAATATTTTTCTTTCCGTGTTCAATCAATTCAATTGCAATTATGTGGAAATTAATCACGAGGCTGAAAGAAGTTAAACATTTGGACGCAAGTGTGTGCGAGTTGCAGAATATTAAAACAATGCATGTTTGTTTAAACTGAATGTTAAATTGTTTTTGGCTCGGCAACTCCATAGGAAGGATTTATACGTATACCAGAGCCAAAAGGTATCCTCGTACATAAAATTGTATTTAGTCGCACATTAAATTTCATAAATGTAGTGCTCAGTTTTGTTTACAAGCTGCGATCTAATGCCTCGAAATGGATCAAATTTTATCCAAAAATTTTACCAGCTTTAACTGTTAGAACTAAAATTACTAAAATAAAATTTTCTCACACATGTTTCACAGTTACCCTTTTAAATTTATCAATATAACCGAAAAAAAATTGTAGATGTTAAAAATATAAAAAGAGCTGTTGAAAAAGCATTGAAAACAGTTTTGCACTATATCTTATTACACGCAGTTAAAAATTTGATAATTATGATATCATTTCTTTATTTTTTCTATGGTTTTTGTAAGCCAGGTGATGGTAAAAACTATTTTTTTCTGATCTAACTCTTTCCCTTCTACCAAGTCAATATTTTTACAGTCTTCCTCTACTATACAGCTCCGTGAAAGGTATTTATTCCAATTCCATTTTAATATCCTTTTTTTTTTTATTTTTTTTTCTCCTACCTTTCTCTACATCATCCGAAATTCACCCAAGGTGACCCAAATTTTTAAATTCAAAAAATATATTCTAGGTTTCTTACTTGTTAAATCTATAAAAATATGTAAACAACAGAAAATGCTATTCGTAAACAGAGTATACTTATGGAAAAGAAATAAATAATTAAATAAAAAAATTACTTACCCTCCATAACAAAAACCGTTGCACCGATCTCTCCTTCGTGAATAATCGTCGTGCCTGCATTGAAAGTTACGGGGTACATGCAGTCGACAATTTCTTGTATTTGCGCGAGTTCCAAATTTTTCATGAAGTCATTGTCTAGTATGGCAGCTTTGATGAGCTCGCGTGACCTATAAAACAAAAATATTCATAGTATAAGTATCAAGTTGTTAAAAATTTAACTGTTAAATTTTTTTTTATTATGATACCTAACTATTTGACTTTGATCGATTTCCAAGAAAATGGAAAAGCTATATAAGAAAATCCATACAGTAGTGCCAAAACGACAATGAATGAGGGCACTTGTTATTTTAGAAATTTGTTTTTTCAGGGTTTACAAATTTTTTTTCACTAGCATGAGTTAAATATAACACGAAAAACATTGTTTCCTCTTGTACTTCAATTTTTTTGCCAGTTAAATTACTTCTAATACGTTACGTTGTATCTTCTGCTTATACTCGCAACGACTAATAATTAACTTTATCGCTTTTCTATTTTTAACTATGCGAAAATGGATAAACAGTTCAACAAACGTACAAGCAATAATTAAATTGCTAATTGTCTATAATAACATGTTTAAAAATAGTACTCTGTAATTTTTTAAAACAGTTATTTAGAANTAACTTGTATAAACTTTAGGTGTGGTGATTTGTTAAATAAACGTAAAGTCTGTATTTCCTAAGACACTGCAGTTTATCAGTAAAAAATACTAATATTAATATATGTACACATACTGAAGACAAAATTAAAACTTATGTACCTGAACAATTTTTTTTTTTGTTATGCATGTATGCCAAAAGTAATTTAGAAAATAATATGAAAAAAGACTTTCCAAATCGTGTATCGAATCCATCTTTTTCTCTCTCTCTCCCTCGTTTTTCCCCCAAAGAGAAACCTCGAGCCGATCCGCTCTTGTTTTTCAACAAACGTACAAGCAATAATTAAATTGCTAATTGTCTATAATAACATGTTTAAAAATAGTACTCTGTAATTTTTTAAAACAGTTATTTAGAAAAGTAGTACAAAATAAATTATCAAATGATTATTAAAAAAAATACTTTCAAGTAACTAAATATGTCTTGGGCACCGTACATCTCAGTTTTTGTCAGAACTATAAACTCAACATATCGATACGTGTAGGTGTAATTGTGTCAATATATTAGCATGAATTTTACGAACGGACGTAATCATATAAAATAAAATGTTGCATTAATTTGTGATAAAACAAATATATTATTGTTTCTAGCAATAAAAACTGTGTCTTTGTATCACAGTTTTAAAAAATATAACCAAAATTGTTTTACCTTTTTTATGTGTACCTTGTCATTTGTAATTATTACGTATTTATTTTTAGAACATAGGGTATCTGTCCCAATTATGGACCCTGTCCCTATCGTGGACCCATGATCACATTATTAATAAGTTTAACGAGTGTTTCAATAGCACAATGAATTATTTTTTAAGTTGTTATTTTCTCTCTAATTCACCATAATAATGACAAATAATAGCATTTAAATAATGTTATATCATTAAAATAATATATTAAAAAGTTACACAACGCTTTTGACTATTTTCTTCATCATGCCTTGTTGAAAACCGTAAGATACTCATATTTTTGAAATGCTGTATAAAAAATTAGGAGTATTATTTGAACTCAAAAAATTGTTTAATATATCAATAAGAGTTTCAGAAAAATAATAAAAACAAATTATA